GGACCGTGTGGCACATTAAACACCAGAGGCCTGATGCTGGGGAGCTGAATGTCAAGCAGTGCCCTCAGAGACTAAATTGGAGGGTAATTATCACTTCTCTGCAACGAGATTGCAGGAGTTAGTGAGCAATTGATTTTTTTTCCTACTACAGATATTTCACTGTTTAATTGGTAATGACGCAGATGGCTGGCTCTCACTGGGGTGCTGCAGACCAAGCTTCCTGAAAGCAGGGTCCCAGCTGTGACCCGCAGCACACCTTCCACCAGGTGGGGGTCAGGTGGGAGCCAGGTGGGAGCCTGGGTGGCTGGCTTTTTCATTACAAAACAAAAGCAAGAATGAGTCCAGAAGCACTTCCATGAGCCAGATAAGCTCCCTGGCAATAGACTGAATCGACTTTGAGCTGGACACTGCAGAGTTTAGAAATGAGCAAACAGTGGACTCTGGCCTCAGACAGCACTTGGGAGAGAAGATGTCAGGAGCCCTGCAAGGTAGTTGGAAGCCGAGTTCTGATGGAATGAAGCCTGAAGTGTCGTGCTAAAACCTCCATGATCCAGCTCCCACCCTAGTACCTTGTGCCTGCCCTGAACTGCTCCGGGTCAACTGTTTGTTTGTTTGTTTCTTTGTTTTGGACTTCAAGTGCAGGGCTGACTTTGAACCTCAGTTCATCATCATTACTTGGAAGGCCCCTCTTATTTTACTCTCTCCTTGCCCCCCATTCCTTTTTCCTTTTGCAGGCAGCCACACTAATGTATTCAGTACATGTCCTTGGACACATCTGTATTCTTGAAAAACATGCAGTGTTATTTTATGTTTTTATTTACATAATTGATATTACATTATACATTTTATTCTCTGACATTTTAAATCAAACTTTTTTAAGAACTATACAAGTTCTGCATGTGGAACTAATTCACTGCTTCTGTCAGCTGCAAAGCAACTTATTCATTCCCCACATTTTCCTCATTGTCCCAAAGAAAGCTGCAGTGAATGTCTTTGTCCCCCCGACCCCCATAGACCTGGGCAGAGTCCAAGAGGTTCCCTGGGTACTTGGCCAAGACTGGCATGGCTGGCTTGTCACTAGGCACATCCTTAAATCCCCTGAGCTCTATCCATTGCTCTGGGGAATAGCTGCCCTGGTGTTCCATCCCACCAGCCCTGAATGAGTGTTGCCCTTCCCTCATGTTCCAGCATTTAGCATTATCCCACTTCCTAATTTTTAGTTAATCTTGGAGGTGTAAAGTGGTATCTCTCTTTTCATCTCTTTGCTTTAATTTGAATTTTTCTGATTACTAATGAGGTCTGCTTTTCTTTATATACTTAGTAGCCTTTACGGTATCTCTCCTGGGAATTGCCTATTCATATCCTTTGCCCATTTTTCAAATTAGTTTTATGTCTTTTTCTTGATGATTTGCAGGAATCCCTTGTATATTATTAGTTCCTTTTGACTGTAGACATTGCAGCTATCTTCTGCATATCACCTGTGAGTTATCTTTGTCTGTGGCATCTTTCTTTGAACAGAAAATCCCTAATTTGTCAAATGCATTTTATTTACTTATTTACTGTCTTAATGATTCATACTTTTGGAATCTTAAGAAATCCTTTCTTGCCTGTGTCATGAAGATATTTTCCTACATCTCATCAATTTCTTTATTAGTTGTACCTTTCATTTAGGTTATTTAAGTATTTAGCCTACCTGAAATTCACCTTTATATATGGTCTGAGGTAGGGATCCACTTTATTTTTCTCTACATATTAAGCCAATTTTCCCAATAGAATCTACCAAATAGCATCTTTTCTCTACTGAGTTACAGTCCTACCTCTGTTAGACTTAAAGTTTTACATATGTGTGTATGTACGTATTTGTTTCTGTCTCTCCATTTTATTCCATTGGTCTGTTTGTCAGTGTCTTCCTACCTCAATTCAGTGCCACAATTCTTATTACTATGGCTCTGCACTGTCTTACTATCTGGTAGGACAAAGTGTCCCTTTTAATAACTTTTGTTTTTCAAAATTGACTTAACTATTGAAAATATTTATTCTTCCTTACATCTTAGAAGTGTTTGCTGAACTTTCTTTGGAATTGAACTGGATTTTATTAATATGGGGAGAATTGGATTTTTTAAATATCAAGTCATATTAACCATGAACATGATTTATCTCATTTATTCACATAGTGTTAAATGTCCTGTAATAGAATTTTCAGAATTTCTCCATAAAGGTATTATTTCCTAAATACTCTGTACTTAAGTTGCAATTTTGAATGGATCTTTTCTTTTTCTTCCTTTCTTTCTTTCTTCCTAGTTGATTATTGCTGTAGTAAAAGAATGCTACCAGTTTTGTAAGTTTTTCTCACATATAGTAATCTTGTTGAATTCTCCTATTAACTCTAATAGTTTTCCCCTGCATAGTTTTCCACTGGGTTTTCTATAAAAATGTCATCTTTAAATACTAGTAGTTTTATCTGTTCTAATCCTTTTATTTATTTTTCTTATCATATTGCATTGACCAAGACCTCCAATACTTTGTTGAACAGCAGGTGATAGTGAGTATTCTTGATTTGTTCAAGACTTACAGGGAATACATCTAAAGTTTCTCTGTTACGTATGTTTCATGTGGGTTTTTAGTAGATTGCCTTTATCAAGTTAAGGAAGGTTCGTTCTATTCTTATTTTTTTTTTATTTTAATCACAAATCATAAATTTGATCTAGTTTTATTAAATACTTTTTAAAACTTTATAAGATATGATTTCCCTCCCTGACCCCATAAATGTTACAAATTAAAATGATACACTTTCTGATGTTGAGTCCTTACATTCCTCAGATAAACCTTATTGTACTATGCTGTATTATGTTTAATGTACTTTCATTGCTTTTCCGTATCATTTTCATTTCATCAGTAAATGGTTCTCATATTCTTTTTACCATTTTTACTATTTCTTAAATAGTAAGAATTTTTTGAAAAGTATGTATGTTTGTAGTTTCTCTTTTTACACTCAGTGTTTTATTAGCATCTCTGTTTTATCAGCCTTGCTTTCTAAAGAACCAGTTTTTGGGTTGGTGTTTCTAAGATACCGTACAGAGGCCCATCTCTGAGCCAGCGTAATGCCGTGAAATGGAGACTCTGGAGTCAGACAGATCTGCTCTGACACATACCAACTGTGTGACCTTGGACACATTACTTTGCCCCTTTGAATTTACTTCCTCATCTATAAAATGAGAATAACAATCCTTGTCATTGTGAGGATCAAGTTAGAAAATTTACCTAAAGCATCTGAGGCACATCACAAGTGTTCAGGGCATGTTAATCCTTATCCTCAGTGCCTTTGTTTGTGCTTTTTTCCTGGAATGCCCACCTCCTAGGCTGCTTGCCCACGTGGTACCAGTCTTCAGATTAGAAAAAGGAATCTCTTGCTCAGACAGGCACAGCTCCCACTCATCCCCTCAGCCCAGTGCCCACGTGCAGTGCACAACTTGCATGCCTGTGCATGGAGTCCTGCCCGCCTCCCTGCTCATTTCTCATGGTGCCCAAGGCTGCCCCATTCTTCAGGTTTCAGCTTCCTGAGTGAAGCTTTTCTTGCTCTTCCTTGGCTGGAAGTAATCAATCTCCCTCCCTCTGTCCCTCCTTCTCCCACCTTTTGAACTCACATCACATGTCATTTGTGCATCTCTTAAGACATTTCTCTCATTTTACCTGTGTCTTAGTTATTTTGTGCAAATACCCCATCATTCCAACTGGATTAACCCCTTGAAGTTGGGGATTACAGTTTGTGTCCTCTCTCTACCTTTGGAGCTCAGTAAATGCTGCTTGTATGAATGGTTAAGTATTAAATGTGGGAGCTTAGAGGGCTTTAAATGATATTGTGTAAATGGTGGGGGGGAGGTCTTTAGAGGCAGAGGTAATGGGGAACACATGTATGAAGGTGGTGGTGGTGGTGACAGTGATGATGATGGTGGTGGTGATGGACAGTACCACTTACTGGCTTACCATGTGCCAAGCACTGTGCCAAGTGCTTTCATGGTTTATCTCTCTAAGCCCTCACAACCCCTTGCACTGCCAGGTCAGCAGTGGAGTTGGTATACTAGCCCTGATCTGCCTGACTTCAGAGTTCATGCTTTTAGTTACGATGAGCAGTCTCCCTTGAACATATGGTAGTTACCATTTATTGAGGGCTTACTACATACCAAGCATTGTGTTTGATGATTTACAGATGTTATCTCTAGTCCTGACAGCAAATGTGTGAAGTGTAAGGTATCTCCACTTTCCAGATGAGGAAACAGGCATCAAGGTTAAGTGATCTGCCTAAGGTCATATAAATAAGAATTGAAATAACCAGATCTCTCTGACCCCAAAGCATGCCCTTTCCTCTGCATCACGGGCACAGTGCTGGGGGTCAGTATGAAACCCTGCTGCAGGAGTAGAAGGTTTATGTAGGCAGTGACCTTGATTTGAGGATAGAGTGGAATGGCCTGGACACCTGGAGGCCAGGGGAGTCAGAGCTAACTGGAGCTCTGCCCAGATCTGCGCATAGATAAGCACAGGGCTTTGCACAGCTGCAGGGCCATCAAAGTGCCCAGGCCTGCGTAAAGTGTTGTTCGCAGATCTACAGCTTAGGGAAAGGAGTCCAATGCATGCCTCTCGGTGATCGTATCTTCTTGAGCCTGCTTGTTTCCCAAGATTCACCAGGACCAGCTCTCCTCAGCCGCCTCTGATACAGCTTTAGTAGGGCTGCTGGAAAAGCCCCAGGGTGGGGTGGTGGGCATCTGTCAGGGATAGAGTATGAGCAAGCCTAAAACCTCAGGTGTTTCTGAGAGCAGAGAGCCCATCCTCGGGGCCAAATATGCCCAGAGGTGAGTGGGGAGATGGAGAGCCCAGAAGTGGTGGAGATGGGGTTTTGACCCTTAGCCACCAGGTACCTCAGACTCAGCTGGTTCTCTCTGGGCCACGGGGTGTTTCTGTAGGTGTGCAGCCACCACATGCCTCTCTGGTCATGCCCCATCCAGGTCATTGCTGTGGTCATGGACGTCTTCAGTGATGGTGATATCTTCCAAGATATTGTGGATGCTGCCTCTAAGCGCCGGGTCCCAGTGTATATCATCCTGGATGAGGCAGGTGTGAAGTGTTTCCTGGAGATGTGTCAGGGCCTGGAGCTGACCGACTTCCGTATTCGGGTGAGTTGTACCTCTTGGGGATGGGGAGGGAGGGCAGGACATGAGGTGGAGACTGCCCCTGCCCCTTCCTCCACCTTCTCCCCAGTTCAGGGGCTCAGGTGAACGTCAAGATCTTGACCCCTTTCCCGCTATCTAAAACCTTGCCTTATGAACTGATAACCCAAAACTACATGCCCAGCTTAAATTTTATCCCAAGGCTGCTGAGGCTAAGGAGGCAGCTCCAGCTCAGTCCGAGGGTGCTCAGCCTGTGGTGTCACTGTCAGGGTGGAAGCCAGGGCTGAGGTTCCCTTCTGGGGAGCTTTGAGAGCAGGCAGGAACCACCCTGGGCTTCTGCATGCCCAAAGTGAGATGTGCTGACTTCCTCCTACCCTGCAGATGGGCTCCCACCTGCAAGGCCATAGAAAGCAGAACTAGTCCAGACAGGAGCCAGCAGACAGGGTCCGTGGACAGGAGGGCTTCTCCTCTGCCAGAGCAGAGACAGCTCAGAGCCTCACAGGCCCCCCGCCTGAGTGGTGGTGCCTTTCTTCTCTCCTCAACAGAATATCCGTGTCCGCTCTGTGACAGGCGTTGGCTTCTGCATGCCTATGGGGAAGATCAAGGGGACCCTGTCATCGAAGTTCCTAATGGTAGATGGTGAAAAAGTAGCCACTGGATCTTACAGGTGAGTTAGGCTGGGTCAGAGAAGGGCCCATGAGGCCTTTATTCATGGCAACTAATGTTCATGTTCAGCAAGACACTGGCTGGAGCCCCCATAGCCATGAGTTTCAGAGGCATTGTCTGAGCCAACGGCAAAGAAGGGCTTCCTGGCCAGCCCTCTCCTCAGACCCTCTGGCTACTGGCTTTCAGAAATAGGGTCAGCTCTTACTGGGCATTAAGCATTGCCTGCCTTTTGTACTCCACAGCAACCAATGGCCTTTTTAGGTTAGTTGTGAGGTGGGACAGGTAGGAAGCAGGACGCTGGCAGCACAAGTGTGCTTGTGCTGAACACTGAGCTAAATGGTTTATATACATTATTTCACCTGAGCCTCACAACAACCCTGTGCTATACACCTGCGAAGCCCCATTTTACAAGGCACCCAGGGTAGGAACCAGGTTTGAATCCAGGTCTGACGTCTCATGCCCTTGCCCTACACCCCCTGCCTGCTTTTGCATATGAGACTAAGACCTAGAAAAAAGGGACGATGTGGGTCAGCGCAGGCAGAACACCCCAGCGCGAAGGCCAGAAAGCCCCTTCCACCAGGTGGCAAGACATCAGCCTCACTGGTGGATCATGTCGGGGCAGGAGCAGGGGGTTGTTGAGATGGGCTTGCCAAAGGGAGAGGCCCCAGGCCTGGGCACATGTGTGCTTTTCTGTCCCCATGTTTCAGGTTCACCTGGAGCTCTTCCTATATAGACAGGAACTTCCTCCTCCTCCTGACAGGCCAGAATGTGGAGCCCTTCGATGTGGAGTTCCGGGAGCTATACGCCATCTCCGAGGAGGTGGACTTGTACCAGCAGCTCGGCTTGGCAGGAGGTGCTGGCAGGCTCGGTGTCTACTCCTCCACTGTGGCTCGAAAGCTTATCAACCCGAAGTACGCCCTTGTGTCGGGCAGCCGCTGCCCACCGGGGGAGATGATGCGCTGGGCTGCCCGGCAGCAGCGGGAGGCCAGCGCCAGTCCAAAGGGGCAGGAAGAGGGCAGTGGAAGCGGTGAGTCGGCCAGGTGCCTGGAGAGCTTCCTGGATGACCTGGTCACACTAGAGCAGGTGCTTCCCCCTGTGGAGCCTGTCCCCTTGGGAGAGCCGACTCGGAAGGATGGCAAGGTAGTCTCTCACCTGCGCATGGACCCGAAGCCCAAAGCCAGGGGGGCACTGGCCCAAAATGGCAAAAGAGAAGCTGCCAATGGGGAGGCCAGTGTGGCCAAGGAGGGCAAGCGCTTTAGCAACAGGTTCTTCAGCCGTCGGGCCAAGAGGCCTGCAGCACCCAACGGCACGGCCAACTCACTCTCCACTGAGACCGTCGCTGAAGTGGAGTTTATGCTGGGGAAGAGGCCCAATGAGGCCTCCAGCACCAGCGTCTCAGGTGAGCCCTCCCTGTGTGGGCCCCGTGCTCCACAGGCCTCTGGCCCTATGGGGGACCGCTGCCTGGTAGCCGCAGAACCGCTCCTTGCTGGCGTGGAGGAGGCAGGAGCTCCGGAGGCACAGTCCTCTTCTGCTCTGACAGCCCCATTCTGCTCTGACCTTCCTCTACCCTGCAGCGTTGGGCCGGCCCTGCAGGTCTGAGTGTCAGTTCCTTCTTCTCTAAAAGGGAAGAATGATGCCTGCCTTGCCCAGCTGTTCCGAGAATATGAAGTACTCAGAACAGTGCTGGGCACAGGGTAGCCTGGGATCTATTACTACTATGAAAGGCTTGGGAAGTCTCTCCTTTGTAAATGAAGAAACAGGCACAGCGCAGCTGGGTGGCATGGCTGAGTTTGATCCCTGCCTCTGAGTCTAAGGCCCATTCTAGAAAACCTTGTTCCTTGCCAGATCACCTGTGGTCAGGATCTAACCTAGTCACACACACCCCACCCTCACCTGTGCCCCACCAATGTGCTCTGGCCCACGTTCCTCGTTTCTGCTGTAAATAGCTTGACTGGTTCCTCCCTGTGTGTATTTGATGAGTGGGGTTTGCCATGCCAGTTCCTCTGGGGGGATTGTTCCTGGTAGTGGTATCTTTCTCGCTGCCTCTCTGGAGGCCCTGGCCTTGGTCCATTTCTCTTGAGCAGCCTCCAGTGTGGCCTTTCTGGAGGCTGGTGGTGACAGCAGGCTGCTGCTAGTGCCTTTTCTCATGCCAGCATCTCTGAATCGAAGTTCTGTGTTGGGATTTGTCTCTCTGAGGCTGTGGGACTTTGCAACAGTGAGACCAGGCTCTCTAGCTGGCCGGGTGGGTGATGGCAGGGCCTTGCCCTGGGCAGCCTGAGCATTTCCAGGACTCCTGCGTTTCCCACGGCTCCAGCTTTGGCTTAAGTGCAGTGATCACCACCATCCGCCCCTCCACTGATCCCCAGCCCTCCTACAGAGCCAGTCACACTGCTTCTTAAAGGGAGGACAGGCCTTGGAGTCTGTGTGAATCTGAGCAGGGCAGGCGCGCCAGCACTCTCCCTCCTTTTGGCCCGGAAGCATTTACGGAGTGCCTCCCTGTGCCGGGTCCTTCTCTGAGTGCGCTCGCTCGCTTGGCCCTCCCGGCTGCCAGAGGTGACAGGTGGAAACCCAGAGAGGTGAACTAAGTGGCCCCAGGGTGCAGTAAGTGGTAGTGGGGCCGGAACTCAAACCTAGACCAGAGCCTGTGTCAGGGAGGGGCGGGTGGGCCCCGTCCCCTTTCCCAGGTCCCTGGCTTCCCCAACACCAGACGCTGCTGCTCTGCACCTCTTGTTTGGAAGAAGGGCTGCCACAGTGAACACCTGGAAGGGAGGGGCGGGGCCAGCCCAACCACGAAACAGCCCCTCATCCCAAGTCCTGACTGGAGGTGAAGTGGAAGTGTCTCTTCCTAAAGCCCCTCGCTCTGAGATATTGTTTCCATAGAAATGAAAGCTCATTGTCCTGTCCCTTCCCTCTGCCCTCCCTGAGTCTGTCAGCTTTGGGTTCCCCGCTTGGATGACAGCAGTCACGGCCACCACCGCTGCTGTTCTCTGAGTGTTTGCACATGGTGCCCAGGAGCCAGCCAGGGAGACCTGCTGCACGGTGCGTGGGACTCCAAGAGGGGTGTCTGGGAGAGAAGAGCCGAAGAGGTCCGGAGGGTCCAAGGGATGCCAGCAAGATCACCCTATTCCTTCTCCATCTGCTAGAAGCAGCAGAGGGGCCTCTGCCCACCTGGGGTCTTCCATTACCTGAGGACTGGAAATTCATTTTCCTGATGGGACCTTTCCTCTCCCTGCTGCTTGCTTCCCTCAGAGTCAGGGGCAGGAAGCAGGGACTCCTCTCCTCAAAGCCTTCTCAGCCCCTTCCAGCCTCCTAGATGTGTGACTAAAGCTGGGCTGCCTTGTGCTGCTTCTCGGCATCAGAAGCCAAGTCAGTGGGACTCGGTGTCCCAGAGGGTCAGGTTCCTGACAATCTGGGGTGGGGCCCAAGGTTGGAACTAGTAATCCCAGCATGCCTGGAACTAGGAGGAATTCACATAGCTCTATCTCAGGGCCCCCGTCCAGGAGAAGGTTCCCTTTCCTACAGTGAACATTCAGAACATCAGAACAGACATGGCATGCACCTGAGCAACCAGGATTTGCTCCCTGTACTGTGGACACATCCTTTCACCTGCCCGGGGCTGTTTCCTGGACTAGAGGAAAAGCCAGGGAGGGTTTCTGAGGTCCCTCCAAGTTCTGATCTTAAGTGTCCTTTCTGTCTCTGCCACCCTCTTGTCAAGGGAGAGCCTGGTTGATGACATGGTGGGTGAAAGAAAAATGGAAAAGCGCAGTGCTGTAAAATTGCTTGAAGTATATAGTCAAACGGCATGCAAATTTTGCAAACCCAAGGGTGGCGCTTGAGTGAACCTTCAGGACTGCAGGACTGGGGGTTAGGGGAAGTTGGTGCTCCGCCTAGTGGTTTGAAGGCTCACAGCGCCCCCTACTGGCGGAAGCCGAATGCCTTTCCCTTCCAGCTTTTCCCTCAGCTGAGACCTCGCCACTGCACTGGGTGCACATCCGTCCAGAAGCTCATGACGGGCCCTCTCGGGGCAGAGATCCCAACCTCAGGGAACAGCAGTCACTGGAGAGCTTTGTTAAAGCATAATAAGGAGTCCATTCCACTGGTCTGAGCTCAGGAATCTGCATTTTAAACAAGTGCCCTGAGTGTTTTCCCAGGCGGTGGCACTTGGTCCCCAGAGCAGCAGGTTACAGTGGCACTCAGATGGCCCTGCCCTCAGGGGGCTGCCAGACCAGGGGAGGAGGTTCCAGGTTATGTTCTGAAGCCCCTTCCAGTCTACCTGGGAAATAGCCAACACTCTTGAATACTGGTAGAAGGAAGAAAAGCATACTGTGTGGCCGAGCACCTGGCATGTGCTGGGTGGACATGGTGCTCAAGGCTTTCACAGAGAACTCACAACCACCCCACTTGGTGACAGTGTTTCATGAATAAGACCCCAGAGGCGCAGAGAGGTGAGCTCCGTGTCCTTGGTCACACAGTGAGAGGGCAGCTTGGTCTCTTGCCTCCCAGTGCCTTAGCTGTCTCTGGAAGGTTAGGGTTGGCACCATTTCCCTACATCTTGAAAGACTGTGTGGGAAGCTAGAGGCCTGAATACATGGTTAACTCTCCCCCTGGCATCACACTAGCAGAGAGGAAGAGGAAGGTGGCTCTTTATATCCCAGAGTGACTCTGGGTCTCTACCTTCCAAGGTCCCTGGGCCCACACTTTTCTCCCCAGAGTTCTGGGGTGAACTACACAACATTGCCTTTCTAGAACTCCTGAGGGTTCTCCTAATTCATGCATGGATGGGGCATCCTGGCTGGCACTGTGGTCTGGCTTCCAGTGCTGTGCCAGCCAGGTTCCTGGATTTGGGGACTTCAGGCTCACCTGTGTCATCCCAGGGGGGCTGGAAGTCTTGGATCCCTGGCCTAGAGATCTGGGCCCCTGCCCAGGATGGGAGGTTTGGGAACTGCTTCTGGAGTTGGAGCTCCATAAGAGACCTGTGGCCTCTAGTTCCAGGCTAAGTCTATGTAGGTGATGGAGTTCTAAAAATCAGTGTTGTTCCTGAGGAGCACGGGTCATGCCCCAGCTGGTGTATGGAGGCTGCAGTGATGTGATAGACAGCACCATTACCAGCCAGTCCTGATAGTAGATGAGGGTAGTCAAGGAGCTGATCCCATTCAACTCTAGAGAAGAGGCAGGCATCCATATTGCCATTGGCAGATGTTGTAATCCCCGCCCTCTGGTTTCTCTTGGGCCCAGCTAGGGCTTACATCACCACTAGATGAGTGAGGGCATGTACATCACCCAACTAGCATCTATCGATGCCGCCATTGTTGTGCTGTTGTTAGTATTGGTGTGCACCCTTAGGTAGCTTGCCACTGCCTGGTCATTCATTTTATTCAATATGTATCTGTGCAACATCTGCTGTGTGCCAGGCTCTGTTCTAAGTTCCTGACACAGCTGTGAACAAAACGAGCAATGTCCTTGCTCTTCCGGAGTGAATACCACACCGCAGAGAGATGGGCATGGAAAGCAATACCCTTTTATGGAGGGTGATTAGGAAGGCCTCTCTGACAGAGGGGCATTTGAGGCGGGACTTGAATAAGGGAGGGAGAGAGCCATGTGGACATCCAGGCAAAGAATCTTCCAGAAAAATCCTGCCAGCCAAACCAGACTAGAACCAGATTAGTGGGGCTCTGCAGCCCTCACTGCAGCTGCCCTCCTCTACTTCCCACCCCTGCACTCAGCCTCATGCCAGTGTTAACAACCCCTGAAGTCTGACCTCCCATAAGCCTCCTTTGGGCCACCTGTGCTACACATGCTTTGCAAAAAAAAATATTGGGGGCTGTTTATGTATTCTTCCCTATTAATTTATCAGGTCTGATCCCCCTCAGAGTCTTGGTGAACACCCACATGTGGTAGGTGCCAGGTCAGCTTGCAGTGAAGAAATGATGGAACACAATTTTTCCTGAGATTGGCTTCTCTGTCAGAGGCATGGAGATGAATTCTGAGCAGAAAGGATCTCTCCAGGCTTTTCTCCAGCCTTAGAGTATGAGTGGGAGTGTGGGAAGCATGCCCAGGCCCTAGCCCTCCTCTCTGGAAAGGAGCAGGGGAGTGGCGGGGGCAGAGAGCAGGCTGGGAGGCTGCCCTCCCCACGTCAGGACCTGGAGGCTGGTTTGCCTACCTGCCTGCACAATGCTGCTGCCTCCGGGGGGGTGCTCACGTCTGCTCAGTAGGCCAAGCAAATCTGCCAAGGAGAGGAAGGGGGCAGCAGCGTCCACTGCAGGAGTGACGGGGCATCGGACAGTGGCAGCAAGCACCTGGGCCTCAGTACGACCCTGGAAGATGAGCCCAGCTCCTTGGCCCTCGTTGCCCTTGGGCTGAGGCACAGCCATCCAGCTCCCCCCACCTCCTCTAGGCTCTAAAAACCATCATTCTAGCCTCCAGGGAGGCTCAGCTGAACATGGAGTGAGTCCAAGGAATGAGTTCAGTCCAGCCCAGACAAGGTGCAGGGGTGACGGGCTCTCCTGGGGCTGCCCAATGTCTCCCTTGCTAATGGCCCAGGAGAGGAGGCAGCTGCCATCTTAATCCAATTCCCAGCTAATGTGATACGGAAGGCAGTGTGCGTGCCTGAGAGACAACCCAGGCCGTGCAGCAGGGCTGGCCAGGCTGACAGCTCTGCCTGGGAGAAAGGCAGCCTGTGCTCTGGGGCGTGGACCCGACAGCCCACACCTCGGGGGGTCATGTCTGGTGTCTGCCTTGAAGCTCCCTCTTCCCTCAATAGATCCCAGAGCAGGAGTCCAGCTAAAGAAGCCACCAGCCTCTGCTTGGGATTGTAAAGGGCACAGAAATGGATGGAAGGGGCCAGGGAGAGGACGGCCGGGCCTCTGGGCCTGGAGAGGAGCAGCTTTCTCTCCCCCTTCTTTCCCTTCAGTGAAGTGTGTTCCTCCATCCTCTACCTTAAAACCCCAAGCGTGTGGTCCACACCATCGTGCCTGGCTCTCAGGTCAGTTTCTGACACCTCCTGATGCCTGCACAATGGAAACGAGCTTAGGTGGGATGTGGAAGAGCAGGCGCTGGTGCTGACTGGCTTGGAGCTGGTGGCCCACCACCCTCAGCTGTAAGATGGACTGACAATGCCTTCGCTCAGCATGGCCACCTGGGAGGATCACCCGCGGGAGTGACTGGCTGTGCTTCCTAAGCTGTCAGGATGCATTCAGTGTCAGCTCCTGGAGAACCGCCTCTTTTTAAAGTCATTGATTGTAGTTGATTTGGGTTCTGGATTCTTCCCCTACCCCACTGAGGTCAGAAGATGGCAGGTCCCTCCGTGTCCCAACCAGTGGAGCTCTTGCTAAGACTACAACACAGGGAGCATCTTCTCTTATGCTTTCCTGGAGGCCCTACCAACCTGGTTTCCAGATCAGCAGTCTGGGAGGGGGACAGTGACCCCAGCCCCCACATTTGAGGCATAGACAGTACACAGGACAGTGGCTGGAAGCAAGTCGACTGAGCACCCCCCTTACATCCTTCCCTGCTTGTGTCCCTTATCTCCACAGGTAAAGCAAGTCCCAGTCCTGCCAAGACCAGCAACTGCGTGATTTCCTGAGCCGAGAAACAGTGCTGGGCAGGACCTGCAGAAGCCCCCTGCCCTGTCCTGTGGAGAATGCAAGTCAAACCCTGCAGCAGTTTGCACTTCAGACCCCTGCTGGCCTGCACCCAGCAGCCTCCATCATGGCCCCAGGGACCTTGAATCCTAGATGTGAGAGTCTGCGGCATCTCAAGACAATCACGTGTTGGCGAGAGCGCCAGCGACAGGGCAGGGTCTCTCCTCCTTGTTTACATGAAGTGGAAGCTTGACTAGTGTCCGCTGTTCTTTGTGCCTAACTCCTCCCTCCATCAGGCTAGCCTCACCCTGCAGGTCCCCAGAGTGGGTGAACCCGTGTCTCTGTACCTTCATGTGATGGGGTCTCCAGGACAGCCCCAGCTCCTTGACTTCTCCTTCCTTGGGCTTCCTGGTGCTTCTGGTTCCCCCAGGAGGTTTGGTGGAGCAAAAGGGAAGAGGACGAGGCTCTGAGCTAGGGATCCAGTCTGGCTCTAGCCTCTGCACTCAAGGTGGGAGGTATAGCTAGGCCAGCCAAGCGCCGGCTGCTGTGGCCTCCTTTGCCCAGCCCCTGCAGCTTCCTGTGCTGGGCTCTGAGTGGACTGAGGGGAAGACCCCCCACCAGCCCGTGGCAGACCTTAACACTCCATTTTGAATGCCCTCTACTGAGGTCTCCTCCCCTTCGTGCAGCACTGTCTTGGCAATGGTCCAGGGCTCCTTGGCTATTTTGCCTGCTGCAAGCCTGCATGGGATTTTTCTAGTACCTTTACCTGGGTCTGCTCCCTCCCCTTAATGTGCCTTGATTGCACCCTGAGGCAGGAGAAGAGAGCTTGGCCAAGGAGGGTGGGAGGTAGGGTGGTATGGGGAGCTTTCTCACACCGGAGATGGCCTTCTCTCCCCCTTCACAGGCCAGGACTTTTGTGCCTTCTCTCCTTATATTTCAGCCAAAGACCAGCCTTAGCCTCCTGCCAAAATCAGGCCTTAGCCTCCTCCACAGGGCCTGTCCTAATTGCCACTGTGCCAGGCTGGGGAGAGCTGCCCAAAACTACACTCTGCCCCCTCCCTGCTGTGTGCCTTAGGAGGGTGGGTGCGGGGGAGTCTGACTAGAGAGCTCTTGAGCAGACAAGGGAGAGTTTGGGTCAGAGCCGCTGGGGAGCCGAGGCTGCAGGTGCTGTGAAAGCACCGCCCAGGGGCTTCTCTCAGACTCTTCTGGACTGAACTGTCGCCTCTGGTCTTTCCTTCTGCAAACCCTGGGGCCCCCAGCAGCACCTGGGGGAGGGGCCCAGATGCCCGGGCTGCGGATGTGAGAGGGAGCAGGGGGGGGCATGAGGCGGGAACCCAGGGCCTTTGAGAAAGCAGGAAGCAGCAGGGTGCCCTGGTTTGAGAAGAGCCTGGCCCCACTGGTGATGGGGAGGGGTGGGGAAAGGAAGGGTGAGCCTGGTTTCCAGGGCGGCCGCTGTCATCCTGAGGCAAGTTACTAGGGTGTTGGGGGGGGGGGCAGAGTACCCGACACACCTCCCTGGGCTTTTTAACTGTTTAATGAGGATTAAACAGTTCTGGGAAGTGCTGGCAGTGTGGCACATGCCTGTTCTGGAGGGAAGGAAGAGGGAGATGGGAAATGGGTGTGCAGATGTCACATCTCAGCTCCTAGACGTCACCTTGATGGTGTGGGGCCTGAGGGGGGTAAATTGCACTGGGGGAAAGAGATTCCCCTTAGTGAGGAGAGTGGGCACCTTGCGGACAAGATGGGAGGCCCAGTTGCGGAGGGGACCAGCTCCAAGGGCTTCTTGTGTCTGCCCTACTAGAGAAGCAGGCCCACCATTTCCCTTTACCCTCTGCTGACCCCATGCAAGCCCAGTTCCATCCCCTGTCCTAACCTGCAGCAGGATCCAGGCCAGAAGTTCCAAGTCCCTGCAGCCCTGGGCCAAACCTACCTTCCTGCCTCAGTTTCTCCATGTGCTAAGATGGAGTCATTCCCACTTTCTTCATAGAAACAAAGGGTGGGTGGGAGTGCAAGAGGAAGCCAAACGGAACAGGAAGAGTGCGCATGGTGAGCCAGGGCACCTCTCCCCTCCAGTCTCAGTTTCCTCACCCACTTCCAGACGTTCAGACAAGTGGCCTTGATCCCTTCCAGTGCCAGAGTGCTTGGGAAGAAACAGTAGTCTAGAGATTGCTGAGGGTCTTAAAGTCCCAAAATTTGGCCTCTAATATTTGCCTGTCTGCAGAAGCTCCAGCCGCTCCATTCTGCCTCTTGGCCTCTTGAGCTTCAGTACTTACTTAGGCCCTCTGCGCCAGCGATTGCACATGCTTTGTGAAATATTCTTTCTCATCAAATCTCAAGGGTACATCTGGCCATCTCAGTTGGATGACAAGTTCAAGGGTGAATCATGCCCTTGGGTCCTCCGCAGCAGCTTCCAGGAGGCTAGTAACATTGAAAAGGCTCTGGGAAGAACAGGGATGAAGCAGCACCTCCAGCGCACAGCCCACTGCACTCCCCACTCCCCCACCAAACTGTCCACCCTATGAGTCCAGCTTCTGTAGGTCAAGGGTCAGCACCTGATGTGGCTCTGGGAAGGCTGACCTCTGCTGATGAGCAGTGACACCTGAGGGCCGAGACCCCTGAGGCTGCAGCCACCCCGACCTTGCCCCGCAGGAGCAAGACCCCTGCACAGGGCTGGGAGGCTGTCCCTTGGGATTTGGCAAACCTTCCCCGTCTCCTCTGATGGCTTCTTAACCAGGCATCTGGTTAGTCCTACCTCTGATCCTTCAAGGGTGTTATCAAGACAGCCTCTGCTAACACCACTACCCTCTACCTGTATAGAACTTAAATAGAAAGGCTAGACAAAAAAGGTGGCTTTGAGATACGGAGGAAACAGGCCAGAGAGGGGGAATGGGCAATTTTTTTTTTTTATCTATGATACTTTTACCCTTTCTAATTTATGAGCACCTGCTAGATGCCAGTCATGATGCCAGATGCTTCAGTACCTGCAGGTTTCAAACTGCAAAAAGCTCAGGAAACAGCCCTTTACAAAGTTAAGAGAAAGTTTCCCTGTATATTTGGGGACTGAGTCTCAAAGCTGTGTGATGAGTGTCTCAGGTCTTATGGTTGACGTCTTTCATGCAAGGCACACGGTTCTCCCCAAACCCCACGTCAGGTAAAAGGCAGATTCGAGCCTGATCCTCTAGCTTGGGGTTTCTCATCATTGACACTAGTGACACTGGAGCCACAGCATTCCAGTTGGGGGAGGGGCTGCCCTACCCACTGCAGGATGTTCAGTGGCACCCCTGGCCTCTACCCACTAAATGCCAGTAGCACCCCTCTGGATGGGACAACCAAAAATGTCTGCAGACATCACCCGATGTCTGGGAGTGTGGGGCTAAAGTTGCCCCCTTTGAAAAAGACAGCTCTCTGTTTTGCAGCCCCGAAGGCCCACAGGCAGCTTCCCTGTATCTCTGGTGTGCGCAAGCACCCCCTAAAGCAGTTATCCATTTGACAGACCGTGTTGGCCCAGAGAGGCTGGCTGGCTTGTCAAAGCTTTTGCTTTCTGTGACTGACAAAATAGCATCTTCCATCTCTGTCCTAGTTACTTGATTGGCTCTTCACTGCCTTGTACTCCCCAGAACAGGTGTGTTTATGTGCACACATCTGCCTTCCTCCACTCAGCACCCTGTCACATTTCCTCCCGATCTGTTCCCCTTCCATCTCACTTAAGTCCTGCACGGAAAGCACCGTGGGACATAGCTGTGTGCCCAACAATGTCCCACCTCCAAAGGCAGGCAAGGCTGACAGCAGAGAGGCCTCCACACTCCTCAGGTCAGGCCAGGTGGGAATTGCTACCTGGAGTGTCACAACCAGCATGAGTGAACATCGACAAAGCCTCCTTACTAGCTAATTAGCCGTGCCATGCACTGTGGATACAATTTATCATCTGGCTGTGCCCCTGCTGATGAAGCTCTGTGATCCTCTGCACTGCTGTTCGGTGGCAGGAGGTTTGGTGCAGAACAGGTGCCCCATGCTCAGCCAGACCAGAGGTGAGAGGATATGCCCCTTAGAGAAGGTTGAGAGGTGGCAGGTGCAGATGTGCGAGCGTTCTTGGGGTGAGTAATGACTAAGTCATCTAGAACACCTTGAAAAGTTAGGCAGGCCCTGCTTCCTGACACACGCTCTGGCAGCATGCACTGCGCCCGGGAAGAATGGCACCCATTCCTCAAGGAAGGCCTCTTGCAGCATGCATTCTCAGGAGACAGTCTTCATCTTCCAGTTGCTCCAGAATGGGTGGGCCCAGGTCTCCAGGCCTCTTCGGCTGCTCAGGGAAGACTCTGCATGCTTCAAAAGCACAGGAGAAAGTGAGGGTCTCGATATGAGGAACTTTGTCCCAAGTCATCGGACAGCTAGAAATTTGTCACAGCTAGAATCTGGTCATCCAGACTCTCCTACAGCACTGTCACTGTTTGTGGCCTTTCCAAGTGACAGCCAGCTGGAGACAAGTTTTCATCCAGTGAAGTGAGGAGGTTAGGCATTGTCTGCAGTCACTAAGAAGCAGCTCCAGGAACAGATGTCCATGTCACAGGAGACCAGCTAGGACCTGCCACAGAAGCCAGGAAGTGTGGAGGCTGGAGGAGGAAGGGAGGAAGAGGCGAGAACAGGTGGTATGCCAGCAGTGGCCATGTCCTCCATGCACAGCAAGGGAAAAGCACAGCCCATCCTGTGCTAAGAACCAAGAACCAAGCCTGGTGAGTCTCATTTCCTGAGTGCAGCTTGGACTCCCTGGCTCAGCTCTTCTGGAAGGTCTTAGAAGTTGAGTGACTAGACAAGGAAAGGCACTTCCTGCAGTATTTGGAAAGCTTCCTTCATTTGTTCATTCAGTGATATTCACTGTGAGCTTGGCTGGGGATGAGTGGGGAGCCAGGAAGGCCCTGGTGGGACTTGCACATTTAGGGTGGCCTGGGGGTATGCCATGGCTGGGATCTTACCTGAGGCCTGTGGTAGCAAGGATGGTTCAGACGGGCAGGCTCGGGCTGGATTCCCCACTTTGCCACAGATTAGCTAAATGACCCAGCAAACTGCTTCACACCTGGGACTTCAGTTTCTTTATGTGTAAAGTGGGGGTGATTTTGGTACCACTTTCCCAGGCTGTGGGGAGTAAAGCACTTTGCACAGTGGCTAACATTCAGGAGAAGCTTAGTATCCAGCTGGATGCGCCTGGTGCTGCCACACTCAGCGGTCTGTCATTCCCCTCTTGGGACATTCTCCCCCGGATTC